TCACACCTGTAATAATACAAACCTTATGTATGTGTGTGTTTATTCAGGAACAGCACGAAACTCCCTGAACCAGCCCAACGTTTGGCTGACAATCTTCCTCACTTCCATCCTGTGTGTCCTTCCCGTCATTACCAACCGTTTCCTGATGATTCAGCTCTGCCCCACCATCAATGATAAGGTAGCAGAGGAGATGCAGCTCTACCTGCTGTGCTTGACTATCATGGAAAACTCACACCTCCATTTTTTTAGGTGTTAGACATTTTAAGAATCTGCCAGGAAGCTGGTTTAGGGCAGTGAGACGCTTCCTCCTCTCAGTGTGACTTTCGGTTTCTGAGGAAATCATCTTCAGTGTCCTTTTTAAACTATTGCTAATAAACAAGTGTCAAAAAACAGGGAAACTGTCATTTTACAGTAACGTTTTACTCACAACAAAGTAATCTAGAAGCATGGCATAGAAAACTACTCGAAACTAATTCATCCTACTTCAACAGTGCTAACTTGCCAAAAACAAGTACAGGTTAAAAAGCAGAGCTTATTGAGAATCAAGGGTCAGTATGTTGAGTGCAACCTGAATTCTGTGTACCTGAGATACAAGATAGACAAACAAGACGTGATTCATCCTTTAACTAGTTTATTTGGATAGATGTGTTTACTCCTGAGATTCAAAGCCACGGCTCTCTGAGGAGTTTCTCAAAGGATTTGTCTTTTTAAAGGTTTTCTCACATATACAATATGTTTAAGATGGACTCATTAACCTTCTGGCTTCTTATTTAACTAAATGTTTCCTTAAAACACCCACTCCTGCATTATAACTGTTTCATTTCCTCCCCAAATGTTAGGTTATGTTCAAAGTGAGGCAGGCGAAAGCAACACCTGCTCCACCAACTCGACGTGCCCGCATCCGTCGCACCAGCTCCCGCCGTTCGGGCTACGCCTTCTCGCACGCACAGGGCTATGGGGACCTGGTGACATCGGGTCGGTTCCTGCGGCGTCCTGCCCTGACACGATCTTCTGGTTTCACCCACGCAGGCCGCACCACTACTAGCTTCAGTCCAATGGGACGATCGGCCGGTTACAGCCCAACGGGACGTCCTCAGAATAACAAGGTCCCAGACGTGGAGGTGACTTCCCTGCAGATGTATAGGACAATCACGGATTCTGCTCCCTGATGGACAGCACATTTAGGGAGCAAATGATTAACTACTGACTGGAGAGCTACATGATGTTGGCAGCCAGAAGTGTTCAAAGGTCCTATTTGTTGCAATGAAGAGCTTGCTTGGGCTTTCCAGAGAAGTTCATGTCAAAGATTTTTCATACCTACACAGAAGACGAGGTTTGAAGAGTACATGACTTTAGCTCCTTACATTTTTCTCTGAAATGGTGTCATCAAAGGGAACTACAGCAACAAATGTAGCCACTTATGGTGGGTATATGAATCGTCTTCTTAAGATGCCAGCGGATGCGAGGGTGATTAATGAAAGCTTTCTGTCAATATAGATAACAACCGGGTGCTTTGTCTTCAAATAGGAAAGGAAACAATATGTCAACATGTTTACAGGCTACCCAGTCCACCTGGGAGTCCAGCTGGAAAGCAGTGTTTGCAGAGGAAATAACGAGCAAAGCCATGTTGCACAAGATATTGACTTTTTAAAATCTTTTTAAAGCATTTTATTTTCTTAATTTGAAAGCTGTACAAGCGGTCAGCACTTTGGCTGTGTCACAGTGGCAGTGGGGAATAACCAAACATATCATAAACTGCTTCTTCTAATACAGTACCATATCAAGGGCCCAGGGGTGGAGTGGGGTGTAATACTCAGAGAAGAAAACTCATAAATTTACAAGAGAAATGTCGAGGAATCGCATCACTTAAATTTAAGGTTTGGTAAAACCAAAAAGTCACAGAAAGTAGATTTTGGCATGTTGATAGAGTCAGTTGAGTCTTTTTTTAACACTCTTATTGATCCAAAAATGAATGAACACATTTCGATGGAGAGAAATGTCGTTGGCGTTGTAGCAACATTTGTACAAAATTTAAATTTTTGAGGTCTCTGCCCCATAATGAGTTTATTTATTTTATTAAAGTTGAGTGGCCTGAATACCCAGAGGTGGGTAGAGTAGCCAAACATTGTACTCAAGTAATAGTAGCACTACCTCAACATAGTTTTACTCAAGTAAAAGTAAAAAGTAGCCGTCCAAGAAATTACTCAAGTAAGAGTAAAAAAGTATTTAGTGAAAATGGCTACTTGAGTACTGAGTAACTGATAATAACATGATTTAATGTTTAAAAATGAGCCAATCAGACAGACAAAAATCTGAAGTTTAATACTGAAAAGCAAAATAAAAAAAAACATAATTACAAAATAATAAATCTAATCTTTTCAAAATCATTATGAAACTAATATTTAGAGAAGGTAATAAAAATGTTGCTAAAATTGGGTAAAGTACTTCCAGTAACAATACATGGTGATACTTTACTTCTCCAAATGGCACAACAGGCTCAGCAGATAGAATAACATTAAAACCACAAACCTTATGTACAAACAAGAAGTCTCACTTTGACATAAACTGTAGGTCTGTGTCTCGTGCATTTTTGGTTATTATTTTGTTTATTATTGTTTATTATTCATTAAATGAAGTTACTCACACTGAGTAGAGTAGCAAGAATTTTTTCCTCAAGTAAGAGTAACAAGACTTCATAATATTATTACTCGAGTAAAAGTAAAAAGTACAGTGTAGAAAAACTCCTTGAAAGCATTTTTTCCTCCAAAACGTTACTCAAGTAAATGTAACTGAGTAAATGTAATTAGTTACTACCCACCACTGTGAATACCCCATAATACACCAAAATAAAAAGCAATAATAATGTTTATATGGCCATAATATTCCAGGTTTACACTTTGTGGTTTGTTTGTTTTTATTTGTGTTTATTGTTTTCTTGTGTGCTGAAAGCATTTCACCAAACTTGCCGAATTTGGGAAAACTTGGCAAAAAATATCTTATTTTTGATTTACATCCAAACTGTTTAGATATGTAAATAATAAAATAAATCCTGGAGTATAATGAGGTATACTCTTTGCTTCAAGTAAGTTATTGCTTACCTAAAACAAATTATTAGTAAAGGTCAATTTCTTATGAAACCCCACAGCCCACTGCCCGTTTTTGATTTCTGCCACATTTGATTGATATTAAACACCTGTTCAATGATCCCAGTCTGCTGCTTTTAAGGATAAATTGCAAAATAAATGTGAGGAACTCACGAGATAATTGAAGAGATATGTGAAAAGAATATACAAATATTTTGGTTTGGTTTGGTTACAGCAGCTGATGCATCCAGATGTTGTCTGGAGCTTGTTTCTAACAGACTGAATTGAGTTCCGGCATCCCGGTGTGTCTGAAACGCACCTTCTGTGGCAGATTGTGCTTCCTCACTAATGTCCGATTTTCCTCTCCCATTAAACTAGCAAAACCTAAATGGGAACCTGTTTGAAAGTGGACTCTGATGGCTGTATAGAACCTAATCCAAGTAAGACATGCTGTAAAAACTTGATAACATCTACCTGTGTTTGGGAGGTTTATCACAATGTACACACACTACAGAGTTGATTAAGAAATCCTTTAATCTGTTCAGGGACACATTTGGCTTCACATTTGTCTTCATGCCACTGAGCACCTGTTTTGTTTTTTGTCTTTTTCGTGCATTAAAACCTGCAGTGAGTGCGAACAGGGTTTAAAAACACTGCTCAGATCATTCCTATGGACTGTGCTGTATAAATAATAATATTTATACCTCATTGTATTTATCAGATCGCGTGCTTGGTAATCACTTTCATTTGAATTTCATATATTTGCTTTAAGTTGTAATGTATGTCTGCATTTGTCTTTATCACCATCTCTTTCTTCAAGTGTTGTATCAGCCTGCTAAAAATTGGAGCAAAAGAAAACACACATGCTGCCTTATTATTCAGATAAAATGATATTTTCTTACTTATTTTATGCAACTAAGAATGTTTGATCAAAGATAAAGCTGTTAAAAAAAACCAAATCAAAGCTGATTGCAGATGTTTTAAGTTCAAAAAGGAAAAATGTTATTTTATACAGTGATTTTCGATTATTTGTTATATTAATGATCACTGAAAGCTTAAACAGTGGTCCAAAACTGGTTTGGTATTTGTAAATTAATGATGTTTAATGTCCGATTTCCCCTTTTTGCTCCTTGTCCGGTTGTGAATGTTGACTCTGTAAAATTTAACCCCCAACGATACTTTTTAAAGGCTTCATACATTGTGACTTTAGAATAAACTACAAAGTCACACAGAAATTAATGCTGGAAGTGAGTGTGGTGAAACTGGTTTATATCACAGTTATTATTTACATTATTTACAGTACAGGCATTCTTTATAGAAACAGTTCAGAGTTAGTATAAATGGAAAAAACATTTTCTGTTGTTTTGGAAAATGATACTGCAATTGACCTTTAGCCAAAAGTCAAAATCAACAGAGCAAGTCGAGCTTTGAGTCAGATGTTTCTAATTTCATTACATTAGATCCAACTTCCCATTTTTTCTGACAGCTAGTAAATAAATAAAATGCAAATCCTTCAGAGCTCTTTGATGCTTGTGCACGTGTCACAAGCATGGCTTTTATTTTGGACAGCATCTTTAATTAGGAAGAGGGAAGAATCTTGTTTAAATAAACAGTTAAACATAATTTAATAGAGTTTTGTCTGTTTTATTGATCCATAATAAATTAATTAAGGGTAGTCGCAGTCCAAAACACCTTTTCCAAGTGGTACATTAAAAAAAATAAATGGTAGCCATACATATAAATTCCAGCATTTATAAGTTTATTTTTATTATTACTGCATCTGCTGCCTTGAGTGTAACATAAGGGATTTTTGACAATTGTTTCTCAGACATGACAAAAATCAACTTAGCACTGCTCTTTCTGATATCTCCTTCATGTTGTTTTGTACCTTAAAACGTTTTTACTGCAATAAAAAGATTTGAAAGATCAACATACTTCATCGTTACACTCTTTACTTGTTTTTGTTATTAATACGTTGCACTACTTTCTCAGTAAGTTAATAGTAAGTAATAAAAATGCTGCAAAGTGACACTATAGCTGGAGTTTTCTTCCACTGCAGTTATACTTGCACATAATTGGAACATAAGAAAAAGCAGAAGATGTTTTTCGTCTTTCAGTCTACAACAACCGTTTTATCATAGCCGCCTCAAATGTTCCTTAACCTGCTGATTTTTATTAACCTGTTCTGATGTCATGACATTTTTGTGAACCTTGATCTCTGCCTACTTTCTGGTTTTGCTTGCTGTTTTCCATTTGTTTTAATAAATTACCACAGAGAGCTCCTGCCAACATACACTGTCTGAGACATTACAATAAAAAACCCTAAACAAAGGTAGTTAACTAAAGCTGCAGAGCATCATTCAAAGGGACAGTCCCCTCTCTAAATCAAAATAATGGTTCCCCTCATTGTCATTCAGTGTCACTCAGTTCCATAACATTCAGCAGCACTATAGATTTTATACATTGAATCTGAAAAGTGGCCCTCACATCTTTTCTCTAAAAGTTTTAAAGTAGAATAGATGAGTTGTGATAGTGGGCGATACTACATGAATCCTTCTCCTTATGTCAGTCACCAAACACACTATGTACCTTGTCATTAATACTAATGGAATGTGGTTTGCAAATGTAATCAACCCTTTTCACATTTGCAAACCTCAATTCAATTTGGTAAATATCACAATGTTACATTGAAAAGCAACATAATTAGTTGGATATTTTAGCGTCTAAGAATAATTCATAGCGAATGATCAGATTTCAATCTAATCCACCTGTTTTAGGGTGGAGCTTTTAGTTGTCAAACCAGAGGAAAAACTTAAAGAACCATTTGTGGCAAAGCAGATAAGACGAGAGATGAGATCACATAGAGGCAGTCCACTAAATTATCAAGCACTTAAAGTAACATTATTCAGTACAGACACTGGAAAATCACCCTGCCACTCCACAGACCTGCACACGAAGCAAACTGGTAACAGAGTTGTTTCATATTAAAGTTTTTGAATTGATGCAAACCCTCCCTTTACTGCACAGACTCAGTACAGAGCATCATGTGCCACAGTTTCACACATGGAGAACAGATTTGTAGTCCGTGGTATCAGTGTAGTGGCAGCCATCCTGTTTATAGTTAATCCTGTTAAATGCTGCCATCCATATCAATATGCTCTGTTTGCAGTGTCCATTGGCATTTTTTTTAAGTGTGCTACTGCAAAGCACGCAAAGCATCCATGAAACGCATGAAAAACTACATTGTGAAAACTAGTTCTTGTTTTTCCAGCTAGCTTCAGTATTTCCTCCCTCATTCCTCCTCACCTGGTACAACCTCTGTCCTCTCCCTCTCTTCATCCTCCTCACTCAGCTACAAACTAGAAAATAACAAAAATATAATCTTATGATCATAAGAGCAAGTGGGGGATCCACAGTTGACAACAGGACAAAACACTGCTAAGTTATGTGAAATCATCAGAATTGAATGTGGGTGAAATAGAAGCTACAGCTTTATAATAATTGGAGAATTTGACTACATGTCGACTCTTACCCGCTTCTTTTTGCTCTGTCTTTCTTTGCTCTCTCCTCTCCTCCCTCTGTCTTTGTGCCGTCACCCAAAAGTTAAATATTACAGTGAATAAAGATGATGACATTTACGAAGGTGGGTAGTAAAACTCGCTTTAATGAATACCTGGAAACGATGGAGGAAATGAAATACACTGATTTCCAAGTGATGGGTTTGAGTGGAAGCTGAAACTTGGTGTGAAACCAGGTGGAAAATTTCTCCTCTCCGTTGATCCTTTAATCAGCATCACTGTGTTCAGGTGTGTATGAGCTTTTAAACAGCCTAGCCGGAGTGTTGGGCCAGTGGGTGATTTGACTAAACCCGTTTCCGCCTTTCATTCAAATACGAAAGCGAGAAGTTGAGCTGGACAGAAGTCAAAACCAACTTTGGCAGTTACAGTTGAACCCGAAGGGTCGTTTTATCCGAGGCACCGACTCATAATGGTGAAGCGTGGGGCAAGAAAAGGCTGCAAATAGCGATGATTATGAGCGGTAAGAGCAGTTTTCTCTGCACGCTCACCACACCTCACTCATAAATCAAACAATTTTACGTTTGTTGTTTATACACCAGCGCATACACTGGGCAGAACGACTTGTCGTAGAGGTTTTACACATCGAGAGAGGTTTAAGTCGAATTCGGCTTTGTGTTGTGTAAAGTTGTGACGAAAGAACTGATCGTTTCTGATCTTTGCTGTCTTTTAATTCCCACTCCAGCTGTTTTACATGAAGTAAATGGTGTCATCGTTTTATCCTCTTTATGGTTAAAGGGTGTAATGTGTTGATTTTGTTGTTGATGAAGATTCAAGTTTTGTTTTGTTTTTCCGAGCTAGCTTTATGCCCCACTTAACTCTTCACCTAACACCTTGTTGTGGATCATCGTTTCCATCTTGAAAACTTGGCCTACTGCAATATAAGAAAACATCTGAAATGCCGCAACATTATTTATATGTATCCATATTGATGAACTCCTTATGGGGGTAATTTTAAAAACGCCACACAGACTGACTTTTGTGACGCATTCATATTTGTGTCCACTCTTTTAGGAAATGCCAGTCTTTATGTAAATACGAAAAAATGCTAACCTCATAGAGGATGACTCGTGTAAAAGTTTTTGGAGTTCAGTTACACGTTAGAGCATCTGAGGTGATTCCTGCTCCGTGTGCTTTAGACTGTCACAGCGAGCAGGCCGCGGTGTTATTTTGCATGACATTTGCCTTTTGTAAATAAACCGGACAATGCAAATTCCTGTGCAGTTGGACACTCTGTGGAACGTGGCTCTAGCACCATGTTGTTTATTAAAACACAGACTGTAATTCAGTTTTACGTAAAGCTATGCAAACCAGTGGAAACATGTTGCCAGTTTAATACAGAGCTGATGTGAGAGAACCACAGGAGGTGGTACCGGTAAGCGCTTTCTTTGTTTGTTTTTTAATGTCGACTGCTAGAAATCCTTAGTTTTGAAAATTAAAAACTATTCCAGGTGTCTTGAGCACCCTATATGTATATTTTAAAGTCATTTGTGTCAATTTCAGACTGAGGTCTTAAAGATCAAACGTGTGGTCAAAAGTTTGGTAGAGAAGTGTATGTGGACTTTGTGTTTGAGACGGCATGAATGTGAATGTAGAAGTGTGCTTTGCCTGCAAAGCTGGAATGGCTTCAGTGAAAAGCTTTTGTGCTTTTTGGTGCTTTTTGTTGCATTTTGAATTCGCAAACTGTCAGTTTGTCCTTTTCTGTAGTTTCTAAGAAAGTGGCGTCTTTTTTTATGCACAGGCCCTTGGAAATTGGTAGTTTTAAAATAGTTGAATATAGTTTTATGCAGATCTGATGTTTTAAGGAGAAGCACTCTTGTGTCTGCTTCACCAGCAGCAGCACTGATATAGGTGAGCAAAATTAAGTGCCCACAACAGCCATAAATATGATGATGATGATGATGATGATAATGATAATGATGATGATGTATACTTTATTGATCCCCGTGGGGAAAATCGCTCTCTGCATTTAACCCATTCACTCAGTGAAGCAGTGGGCAGCCACTGGGCGCCCGGGGAGCAGTGTGTAGGGACGGTACCTCAGGGTAGCCGTTCAGTGGATTTGAACCCCCGACCTTCTGATCATGGGGCCACCACTCTACCTACTGAGCTATCCCTGTCCCTTAAAAAATAAATAAATAAATAAATAAATAAAATAAAATAAAATTTTTAAAGAGTTTTTTTTAAATTTTTATTTAAAGAGGTTTTTCTAAGAGTGCATTAACACAAAAACATTTTTTTGACCAGCTGAAAAACTCCAGCTGTGAGTGCTTCGGAATCTGGAGTATCTTGTCAGCTGAGACACTCTGGTTGCTATGTTACAAAATATCCAGTCGATATTACAGGTATCTGACTTTGACCTTGCCTGTTTCTCTGCTGGTAGAACCACACTGAAGAAAATGTCCAAATGTTATTTCTATTATAAATTATATTAAAAAGATATTAGTGTAGGGCAGGGAACATTGGCATCAAACTGGGAATAACTTTATTTTAATGGTTCACACAGGGGAAATGCTAATGTCAGTGTTTAGATTCAATTGAGGCAATAAGATTTAATAGTGGTAGTTTTGGTTATTGACAGTGTGTTTCCTTTTTAGAGTGTGGAAAGGGTGTGATGATCTGAAGATTAGGGAGCAGCAGCATCCCTCTGTCCAGTCTGTTAATCCATAACTGATGCGTCTCGTCCCTGGTTACTGCTGAAGGCTCAAGCTTCATCTCGTTGCAGCTTTGTTGTTCCTGTGTTGTCAGTTTGTCAGCGCGTCAGCACATGAGACATGAATCCCTACGGAAATGAATATCTTGACTCTCATTTGAGTGGTGCCGCAGCATCTCGCTCTCAAAGTTCACCCCACGAATTGGCTTTAGCTCCATCGTGCGATCAGTCTTCTCCAGTCATCCACCCAGATAATAGTTCTGCTACAGTTTCAGGCCACAACATTCCTCCACACGAGGCCTCATCAGACCAAGAAGGTCCCCAAACCCTGGTCCGATCGCCAAGTTCTACATTCTCGCTTCCAGCTTCAAATCCAGACTTCAGTGTTGGAGCCAGGTCTCAGTCTGATCTAGCTTCAGTCTCTACCCCAGAACCTGGTTTCACAGCAAATCCCTACTCTGCGTTTGGCACCCCGTCTTCATATCAGATCTCTGTGATCATCCCCTCCACAGACCTCCATCCCATTCCCCTCCCAACTCAGTGCTCTGAGGAAAACTGTCCAGACTTGGAGTGTGCCATCTGCTTCAGTCAATTCAACAATGTCTTCCGCTGCCCCAAGATGCTGCAGTGCAAGCATACGTTCTGTCTGGAGTGCCTGGCTCGCATGAACGTCAAGTCGGTCGAGCCCAACGCCATTCAGTGTCCGCTGTGCCGCAGCTTTACACCCTTGCCTTCCCTCGGCCTGCCAAAACTGGCCACAGACTCAGATGTTTTGTCTTACCTTCCAGCTGCTATGCAGAGAGTCTACAGCATCCGTTTCCTCCGCAGCAAAGG